CCTCAGACATGTGACTTCTCACTTGCTGTCTGTGAGGTTGTGAATTAGCAAGATGCTGGGCTTCAAGTGGAGGAGATGGAACTCAAGTTAGAAACTTTACCTCGGCACTGCAATATGGAAAGTGAAGCATCCCAAAGTTATCTTAACAGCTGTACCATAATCACAAACCTTATCAAACCAAATGTTGTCCTTAAACATTGGATGCTTTTGTCACTTTCTTTTCAAGTCTCGCAAATGACTCATTTCTAGTAGAATTACTTAGGAACTCAATGTTTGTTAAAATGCAAGTAACAAATGCATTTTCCTTAGATCACACCTAAAATTTGCAGAAAAAAACAACAGTCAAAAGTCAAACACAAAACACTAATCTGGAGAAAACTTAAAACTTAGAATATTTCTTTAGTAAGAGTTTCATACATTGTGTCATGCTTTTTATGACACCGGAATTTTTTGACTGTCTTTTCCAAGAGAAGCAACATGAGATAAGTCTTTTATACTCTTCAGAAAAGAAATGATATGATTACAAATTAGTTTTGTAAGTCCTTATGTGTATCTTTTTTTAAAATCATATGTATCAGGCACCATTAGTAAACCATAGCTTATAAAAATCCCATTTTAGCAGGTGCTATTGTCTCTGGAATTGCTTTTGTTCATTTATGCTACCAAAGTTTCTTAGAAGGCAGATTAATTACAGGCTTTAATATGCACCTGTGTGAGAGCTAACTTGTAAGCAGCCTTTAAATTAAATTACAATTATTATCACTATGCAAAAACTGCATAAATGACTTTAAATGAAATTCTAATGCAACATTTGCTAAAACCACATCTGATATCCTGCATTAACTATAGTATTTTCTAATTTTAAAAATAATAATGTAGAAAATCTCCCATTATTGATTCATAGATCTCTTTTATAAGTTTTGATGTTCAAGATAATTGGGCTGACAGGTTTCAAATATTAACAAATATTGACAGAATATTTGCTACTTAAATTTGAACTTAAATATTTTGAAATATGATTTATTACTGGGAGTTTAATACTATTAATACAGGCATGGCACTGTAGCCTTGCAGCTAAAGTCCTTGTCTTACACATGCCAGGATCCCATATGGGTGCCGGTTTGTATCCCAGTGGCCCCACTTTCCATCCCAGATCCCTGCTTTGTGGCCTGGGACAGGAGTTTGGGATGCCCCAAAGCCTTGGGATCCTGCACCCAAATGGGAGACCCGGAAGAGGCTCCAGGCTCCTGGTTTCAGATTGCCTCAGCTTCATGGCAGCTTGGGGATTAAATCAATGTACGGAAGATCTTCCTCTCTGTTTCTCCCCCTCTGTGTATATTTGACTTTGCAATAAAAACACATAAATGTTTTAAAAATAACATTAATAGAAGATATGCAAATAAAGGCTAATACAATTTTATAAGTTGTGAATCTATCTAATAGTACTTTCACAGAAAAATAAGAATGCAATGTACTTTTTAAAAATAAAAAAATTATTTTATGTTCCTGTGTTAAGAAGTGATATTTCTTAAACTGAATTCTGTGCATGTAGCCTCTCCATGGGAGAACATGAGTCAGAGAACGGAGGCTGTTTAACACAGAAACTCTATTGAAAAGTGAGACACAGGTGATGAGCCTGATACACAAGTGATTCAGTTACAAGGAAGAGACTCCGTGCTATGCAAGGAAACAGGTCACAGTGCAGCCTGGCATTCGGTTCTTCCTTTTGTTTGGTTTCTTTTTCTCCCTGTCCACATGCTTTTGGTAAAAAAACAGTGAGATAAAATTTACTATTTTTGAAAAAAAATTATTCATGTATTTATCTATTTGAGCAGAATACAGAGAGAAGGAGAGACAAGGAGAGAATCTTTGAGCAGTTATTTCACTCTACGAACTGTTACAGTGGCCAAAGGTCGGCTTTGCCAGAATGAAGAGCCATGAGCAGCACCCTAGTCTCCCACAAAGGCCAAAGCCCAAATATGTCAGTATGAGCCTTTTCAATGACATTAGCAGCAAGTTGGATCTGAAACTGCTGGATCCCATGCCAGCACTCCAGTATAGGAAGCTGGTGGACAAGCAGGAATGACTCGCTGCGTCATGACACAAGATCCAGGATGAAGCATTTCAAACCAGCGTATATGTACTTTCACTATCAGAGCAAGACCCATTCCCCACCCTAGGGAAGTCTCCCTTCCGTAGTTTTATCCACTCGGAAGTTCTCTGAGCTGGTTTATCCACAAGTGAACAGCTTATAGCAAACACACCAACGCAGAACATCGTTTGTGATTATGTCATTGAACATGAGTCTGAGTCTATGCGTTTCTCTGAAGAAGTATAACCACACATGGTGTATTTTTCATTGTTAGATCTGTATTTTATTTTGCTTAATTTTGGTGAATGGTAATGTTAAAAATATGATAGACAGGGAAACCAAAGAAATTACAAAACAAAAATGATCGTAGGGAAGAGTAATTATGCGAATCAGACTCAAGATTCCACAATTTTTAAACAAGTAAGTGCAAGTTGAGATAACACCATTAACCTTGTATATCTCTCATGGTTTAAGGATTAAAGGAATGAAATACATATAAAACTCATAAATGCATATATTTGAATTGACTCAGGTCTTATAAAGTTTTATTTTAAATTTTAATATTTAACATTGCCCTCCTTTCTAATTAAAGTATTTGGAATATTCCAATAGGCTTTAATTGCTGTTTAGAAATGAAATGATTTGTATATTGCAATACAACTTTTCATTTAATCTTAGTTCAAAGTTTGCAGTCTCCTACAGAGAAAGGAAAGGGTTGGAATTTTTGAGTGCTCAGTGTGTTGGCAAGTTTGATTTTAATTGTGTGTCGTTAGGCACAGTTATTAATCAATACCTTTAAAGAACCTTTGATCATTTTCCAATTATGAAATCAGCAACAGTAAAAATAAAACAAAAATCCCAGAAAGCACCAGAAAATAATTGGAGGCCAATGTATATTTCTAAACAGCAACAACAACAAAGTGGGGGTGATTTCATCAGAAGCATGTGCTTGCATGTGCCTGTGATATCAGTAAGTGTAAGGCAGCTTTCAGGCATGTAGAAGAGTAGTCACTGCTCTAAATGGCCCGTTTTAAAGTAGACATGTTCAAAGGGCTCTCTAACTTAAAGTTTAGTTCAGTAACTAAATGAGAAAACAGGTGGAATTTTCATTATGACTAAAGTTGTTTTCACTCCCTCCTAAATGTGCAAACTCCTCAAAAGTAAGTGATTCAATAATTGCCCTTTTCTGTCTCATCACATGTGTGTTGCTATTCCATTTACATACCCAACAATGCACTGGGCATGAAATCTAGAAAGTGTAATAAATCTGCATAGCAATGCTATCTGGTTTCTATGTGTGACGACAGGATTAAACTCCTTTCCCAAACCATGTGACTTCTTGCCTCTCTCTATGCAGCTCTTGTCAGAGATTCATATATTTCTCATGGAATTTGATACGAACTGAATCTGACAACAGAACTGAATTATGGTTTTTATAACTCACTGGTGTCTCTAACCCTTACTCGAGATAAATGTCACTTTCTTAAATGTCACATACAAAATAAGTTTATAACTTAAGAATGTAAGTATTCTATTTGCAGGGGAGAAATATGAACCTTTGATCGATTCTCATGCCATATGTGATTTTAGGCCACAGTGTCTTTACCACAGCACTTTTACAACTAATAGTATGTACATACATATGTTTACTACATCTAAGTTTTTCATTAATAGTTGTTTTGTTTTCTATGTTATCTACTTATGGCATCCTAATCAAATGATGACATCTGAAACTCACAATGTTTGTTTTAACTTAATATTTTAATGTTCAGTGTTCTAAATTGACTCTAACAATTTCCTTCCGCTACTGCACCAGACACACACACACACAGTATATGTGTGTGTATATATATATATATATTACATATATATATATAATCGGTGTTGTGTTCAATGCAGTTTCAAAAAAAAAAAAAGAGCAACACCCCATAAGCTGAAATTCATTTGCCTGGATATGTGCCAAAGGAACACATAATTGAATGTGTGAGATTATTTGATCTGTTAATTTGCCAGCCTCTGCTTCCAACATCTACCCCTGGGCCCTGAAGCCAGGAGCTTAGAACTCAGTTTGATCTCCCAAGGCTGGCCAAGACCCGAAGACTTAAGCCGTTCCCTGATACCGCCAGAATGTACATTAGACTAAAGCTAAAAAGTAACAAGAAGGAGCATTTGAACATGAGTAACCTGATACAGGATAGAACGTTCTGTTGACCACCAGGCTAAACACTGGCATTCTAAAATGTAAAAATTACCTAAAAAATGTTTGCATTATAAATGTTCAGAATTCAAATATGCATTCTTTTTTACCCATTCTATATAATCCACTTGAATATATATATATTTCAAGATAGGAGCATTTTATATATAATAAGTATACATTTGAAATAGACAAAACATATTTTATCCAAAAAGTTAAAAAATGTTACTGAAATATTTGTTTATAATTTCATAATGGTAGTTGTGAATATTATTTGTGATAAATACGACAAATGAGTTATTAAAAATATTTTGTTTTAAGTTGGTAAAATTTTCACAAGAAATTGAACTAACAACAAGGCAAAACATTTCCAAATAGAATATTGAGCAATAAAGAAGAAGATATTATCAAAAGAATGAGTGAAATTCAAGTGCTTTAAATGTCACAACTTATATTGAGTTCTAATATATTGTCTTAAGAAAATGTAGTTATGAAATATAAAATTTGAAAATGTTATTCAAGAATCTACCTATTATAAATACATTCAAATGCTGTTTCCATTAATGATACTGTTAATTTCTATTTTTCATTACTTCATGTGAATTTCTGCAAGTTCTAATGTTCTGTATCTTTACTCAGCAAAATAATTGTTAATTATAAATTACTGGAACAATTATAATTGTTAATTATAAATTATAAATTACAATTAGCTAATTTTAACAATCTTTGATTTGATTAATTATAGGTTGTCTTTTTCTGATTTAATATCATTGATTTTCTTACAATATGAATGGAATTATTGCCGATTTCCTATGAAATGAACTGAATTTCTTCAGATAAAGTTGATGTTTCTTCTTTGCCCACAGAGACATCTGGATGCTCATCAGAAGTGTGAAAACTCCCACTAAAAACAGCAAACAAACAAAAAGAAACCAGAAAGTGTTTTTATTTTATCTTTCTTACTTATTTATGGTGCACATTTAAGTTAAAAATAACCAGCAACCATATAGTTCAACTAGTATTTCACACATTGTTAAATATGAAATAATATATGGTTAGTTTAAATGAAATGTATGTTTCTATATCATACTGTCACTATATATTTCAAAAGAATGTTTCAGTCTTTGAACTTTTTCACATGTCTCTCGCACTCCTCACACAGTAGGTCAGCTATTTAAATTACCGTTTACAGTTTTTCTTTCAAGAATAAGGAACGGATGGAATGACTTATATCTCTTTTGCTACACATGACTGTACCAGTCAAATTTCTGGAAGGTGATAAAATGTCAGTATTGCAGCTGAACTTTGCCATCTGCCAGCCCTTGGCAGGCCCTCCTGCACTGTGGGCTGCAGGCAAAGCAAGGTTCAGGGGCTGTGTGTCGTTGCTACATTACTGTCTTAGCCAAACGCTGCTGCTCACTACAGATGGTGGAACTCATGGTTAACTTGGTTAAGAAGCAGTGACATAAAGAAAAATATACATGGGAGTTTAATAAATGTTAATATTAAAAGATCAACCCGATTCTTAAAATGAAAGAATATATTTTTATCAGCACGTAAATGATGGTGTTGAGGTAACTTATTCTGATACACTATTTCACCTACAGGAATACTTACTGTAATTATCAAGAAAACTAGGTCTTACCTGGCAATGTTTGTGTCATGACTGTGAAACTAATCCATGATCCAATCTGTTATATTAAAACATAAGTGAACAGACAAGGTTGATCTACTGAAGAGATAGGCATGCATCAATTGCCAAGAAATAATTCTGTGTTTGTATTTGACTCTAAAATAAGCAACCTCAAGGTAACATCATATTGATAATGAAATGGAGGATATTGTTCTAATAACTCTGATATAATTAAAATTTTGAAATATTTCAAAATATTTTCTCTGAAGACTTCAAACCATTTTAAAATTCAGATTGGTTATACATAAATATTCCATTTTCATAACATTTGGTCGGAATGACCCATTTTCCTATGCCATAAGCCTTGATTAAATATGTGTATGTGCATATATATGAGCATATACACAAAATATAAGTCATTTTGTGTTTGTAGTTTAATTTTTCAGTGTTTTAATTTTTCATGATGCAGTCCCTTAGGCTGAGGGATTTCCCTTCCCACCCACCTCACCCATTATTTGACTCCACACTATCAGAGCAGTATAGTGCCTCAGCAACAGCCACAAGTGCAGCATTCTGCTCTTTACGTGTGACATTGGCATTGTAGGCAAAAACAATGGTAGAAAGTCCAGCATTCAATTGTCAATATATATTTAACAGCTTCACTGGGAGTCCCTCTTTTATTCAGAGGTAGAGATCAATAGGCACATAGATAAACATGTGCATACATATATTTATCTGGAAGAACTATTGAATGGAAATAAGTATACAGTGCAGAGGAACTATATCACAATATATGTTTATTGTTTATGCCTAACACTTAGGTGTATTATCATACCTACCAATTTGTTTTGCGTGTATACATATTTTGTAGGTGATCTAATAACTTTTCAATAAGTTGCAACAAAGTAGTGTACCTCATAAGTGTAGTTAGGACATGAAACCAGGAAAAACATCCATGTCAAGGGGTTATAATTCGGACTTGGGAAAGCAGCGTTATTTCCTTTAAGAAAGGAGAAGAAAATGTCAATGATGCTACACATTGCAAATTTGATCCAATGCTTATTATCTAATACTAAATTCCTAAGAACATTATATACCACATGAAATGTCATAGAACATTTATAGCAACCTATTTCACAAATTACTAGGAGGAAACCCAATTTCAAATGCTATGACCTTTGGACTCAATAGAGTAGCTGTCATTTTCTTACGGCATCTATAGTTATGCTGCCATAAAATTGAAAAATACAGAAATAAAATCAATTTGTAAGATCTTAAATAAAGCTATATACACATATTATAGTGTATCATAATAATTGCAGAAGTAATGAAATTATAAAATGCATTGTAACAATATCATACTTCTTGATATTTTCCCTTAATATCGAAAACTTACGCACTTGATGCAGGTTATTAAGTATCTCAAATCTCCTTTTGTATTACTTTAGTGCAAGTCTTAAGGGAATTTTACAAGGATATCATTTACATAAGAAAAGTGTTAAAGTATCTCATAAGAGGATTACACTGAACATGCATGAATTAATTCTGCCTCACAATCAGGTTTGTTATTTACAGCTTTCAAAATTCTTGGCATATTGTCATATGAATTTTGTTCATTATTTTTACCTTCCAAATTTTTTTCATTAGCCATTTTGGAAAATAAATGTTTAACAATCTCAAGCTGAACTTTGTGCTATGACATTTGGAAAAGTACACATGAACTGTTTCATTCTCCATAGCAAGATTTAATCAGATAACAAATCAACTAATTTCTTTCCATTATAACTCTAAAGTTATAACAAAATGTCAACTTTCTGTTTTTCACAGTTCTCTTGTTGAAATACCAAAATAAAAAGTATGTGAAGTATCATGCCAATTGTACGTCCTATTTTTTTTTCAAATGGGGATAGAAACATACGTTGTCAATATTACTGATCATATCAGTACACATATGTGAGTGCATGCATGCAGTGTCCACCTTACTGCAATCACTACTATGCAGATGTGGAAGATGCACGCAAGTGTTCTGTGCTAACTGAATCTTGTGAATGTTCAAGCCCTATAATGGTAGAAAGCAAAGACTCACAAATCCACATCTCTTCCAGATGCAAGCTCTAGACTAAACAACACAAATATCTTGTGTTGCCAAATTGTATAGAGGTACTGAATTAAATATATGTAGTTGCTACTAGCGGTAATGAGATAGACCCTGAGATGTTAGCAACTTGCTAGTTGTATTGCCCATGGTACATTTTCTCAACCTATTCTCAGGCTGAGACAATCCTGTTTAAGATCTTTCCCAACAATTCTCCTGGTATCTATGTAAACATTTGCATTACAACATAATTTATTTGAGGTTGCCTGTACCTGATAAAGGAAGTCAGATACTATATCCCAAAGGGGTATCACAAAACAGAACAACAAAACAATAAAGTATAGGAAAATTCACATCTGATTGGATTCTTAGTGTTCTTGGTAAGAATGGCAAAATGCCTTGTCCATGTTGTGGGGACAGTTTTGTTAGATAGCACACTAACAAATCCACTAACTAATCCAGTCAGATGTGAATTCTCCCATCATTTGTTGCTTCATGCTCTCAAGGACCTATGACACTTTTTGGGTGTAATCCTTGACTTCCTTTATCAGGTAAAGGAAGTTCCAGAAAGTGTAAAAAGCAAGAATTGTGGTGAGCTAGGCAGCTAGTTTAGGCTCACAAGCTTGGAAGTCACTCCCCTATCACCTGGGTGTTCCATCCTGCCCACTGTGACTCTCAACTATCACCTGTGAGGGGGCAATATTGCATTGTTGTGTAACCACTCTGCTTCACAAGCCCCTATAAAAGCTTATGTAAGAAAGGGGTCGTTCTCTTGGTGGTGTGCTTCTGTTGCTCTGGCACTCCAACTCTCGCCTCCCCATTACCCCTGAGAACAGGTATACCCTGAGCATGGCCCTTGTGTGTCTGTATTCCTCATCCTCGGTTCACTGCTTGGGTGGGGCATTGATGACAGCAATGCTAAGAAGCTTTGTATTTCTGGTTTGTGTGCTATCAGGAGTTCCAGGTGAGGTGAGGCCTAGCAGTGATGGAATGTGGGCAGAGAAGCCAGGGAAAGAAGAACGCCTGCAGCTTTGTAAGTGTGTCCAGGTTATTTGTTGCATGTCTCTTAGGATAACATATTGTTGGGGAAACTGGGACATAGGTCTTCAGCTTAACAGATGGACTTCAGGGTAATGACCATTTGTTCCTTTTGGGGTTACAGTTGATTGGATTGCCATATGGATTTGTGATTTCTAGTGAGGTCTGTTCTTAAGCTTGGTTAATAAAGTCTCCTTCATAAACCTTAGACATGCCTAGTGTGATCTCACTCATACCCCACAAAAGGATCATTTTTTTAAGTAAAAGATAATCTTTTGGAAAGATTTACAATGCCAGAACCTGAGAAAGAACACGGGGATACAGAACAAGGAGAGGAAGTCAGTGAAAGAGGCACTGTCTTCACCAGATTGCTTTTTTCTGTCCAGTGGAGCAGGTAGACAGTGAGTGGTGTCCCCTCAGGGGGAGGTGACTAGTAGCAATTGGAATCCATGGTTTCCTTTTCTTCATCAGGCTGAAGACAGTAGCAGGTACAGCATTTTATTGTCTTAAGCTGTAATCAGTGGCAAATTTGGAGGAAATTGAATGCAAGTCATGCAACAGTTAAATCTTAAGAGATCCAATCATTATCAAATCTTCCTCCAAAACAACTGCAACAAAATGTGTTGCAATTTGACTTGGATTAGAGGTAAACATAATGTCTGGTAGGGCTGCTGTTGTCAGAGAAGCATCTTATCATGCAGTTTGGAAATTTGCTTTAGGCCTTATAATTATGAATAAAAAGCCCAAACATTCAGAGCTCAAGGTACAAATTTCCAGTGGACTCAAATCTTAGTAGAAAATTTGGACCTTATAATCAAGTGGATTATAAATACTATAACTGTCATGGGGTAAAAAAGAAAAAAAAAAAGAAAGAAAAGAAAAAATGGTAGCATTATAGCAAGTCCCAAAGAACAGTCGCAGTATTGAATGCTGCATGGTTCATGCCATTTCTGGTGGAGAATTATTTCTCTTTTGAAAAAGTATATTCACAATGGCTCAGCTGGGTAATCTTTATCCTGCAAGTGCTGGGAACCTATATGGGTGCCATTTGTGTCCTGGCTACTCCACAACCCATCCAGCTCCTTGCTTGTGGCCTGGAAAAGCAATGGAGGAAAGCACCCAAGTGGGAGACTTGGATGAAGCTCTTAGCTCCTCACTTCATATCACTTCAACTCTATTTGTTGTGGCGATTTGGAAAGAGACCCAGTGGATGGACGATATTTCTCCCTGTATCTTCTCTTTGCTAACCTTGCTTTCCAATAAAAAAAAATAAATAAATAAATCTTTTAAAAAATGAAGTGAAAGTATCAAATTCTATTGAAGAACAGAAACCAGCTCTGGGGCTATCAACTGACCACGTTGATGCTGTATATTCAGTTGAGTTAAATTGGTTGTAGCAAACCTAAAACTTTAGGTGAAGAATTCACATTGTGGTATAGTGAGTAGAGCCATTGTCCTTGTCTTTGGCATCCCATGTGGGTTCACCTCATGTACCAGTTGCTCTGCCTTCACTCCAGTTCACATACCATAACTTGGGAAGACAATGGCCAATGTAATAGGGTCCCTGCCATCTGTGTGGGAGACCTGGATACGCTTTGTGGCTCCTGGAGCAACCTATTGGGTGAACCAATGAATGATCCATTGTGAAATGAAAGTGCTATATTGGGAGTCAAATATAAATTTGACAATAATCTTTAAGCAAACTGTATTAGCACTAATCCCATACACTCACGCCATGCACCAGCATGAAACCAGTGTGTTTCCTTTTGCTCAACATATCTGATCAACTTTTTTGAAGGCCAACTGACAAGGAAGGAAAAGCCATAGCTTGATTAAAGTGTGAGTTGTATACTGTGTAGATCCAGCTAAATGTGCTTGATGGCTGTATTGTGATGACATTAGAGATTTACACTCCTGAGTAATTATAATAAGTAGGGTAATATCTTAATGGCTAGTTTCTAGAGCTAAAAACCATTGTGTCTGAAGTCAAAATGTACGTAAAATAAAAGACATGGGTAAATGAACCAAAACAAACAAGGTGACTTTCTTGGTTTTAAGTGTGGCCATGAATATATGAGTAAATATAATGAATGAATATATTCCTGTTCCACATTGATGCTCAAAATCAAGCATGTGTAACAGAAACAGCAATAAACGTAATTTGATTTCATCAGCTTTACTTCTTATTCATTAGTTTATTCTTTCATCTTTTAAAGGAGTGCTTGGGATTTGTGTGGAGAGTGTGCACATGTATGCTTGCATTATTACAGAGAACTGATTATCCAGGAATATAATTTAGTTTAAGCATTTTTTACTTTACATGGAAAAATGTATGGTATACAACCTTACATGTTCTTGAATATTGAATAATCCCTATAAAAACTGTTGATGTTAGGTTTTTTAAACTGTATGTTTGCATTATTCATTTTAGAGAAGAAAAAGAGGCAAAGGAACCAACCTGTGTGATTTGGATGAGCCAACATTACATTGATGAAATGATTTCCAGCTTCACAAATCTGCAAAATATTTTGACATTTTTTATTATATCTGCATCCCTCAAAATATGTTCTTGAAAAATATAAAATGCAAATAATATGTTGATTATGAAGACCCAATGTACATTTTTACTCTAGTTATGAGGAGACAAAATTAGCAATGATGTATTTAGGATATACAGTAAATCAAATAATTAGTCTCATAATAATTTTACTCCATTTCATAATGAGATTCAATTTACCTGGTTAGGTAGTATTCATCATCTGAATTGCATTTGTTCCCATGGGCAACTTTTCTGGTCATAGAGAAAAACTTAAGGCTTTTCAGGGCAGACTTGCTTTTCAGAGTGTTAGATATAGAAAACACTAATTGCACTGAAACATATTTGGAGCTTCAGAAACTAGGCCATTATGACTTTTACAGAAAAATAATTATACTCAGAAATTATGAAACATGTTTCCAGTACAGAGATGCAAAATTTACTATCAATTTAATAGTCTCCTAATGAATTTTGAAATGTGGGTAAGACTAGTTATAACTCCCATCCGAAACACTGGTTTAGAACTCTGAGTGGATTCAATAAAGGTCTCCATACAACTGACTTAGGTAACTTCTCTGAATCAAGGCCGAAATTAGAAAATATCAGTTCATAAAGTTCAACATATGATTCTGCCACTGGTTCAACCTTAGAATTACACTTCTTGTTATGCACTGAAGTGTTTCTCCGCATAAAATGAACCTTTTTCCTAGATTGATTCTTGTGAAAATTGAATGCTTTTATTTGGCTTCTCAAAAGTTAGTAACACCACTTAATAAAATTAAGTTTAAGATAGTGGTTAGCACTCGGCTTAGTTTTATACTGCAGCTTTCATGTGACCCATTAGTAAAAAAAATGACCGGAACACCATACACAAGTGTACAGAAGGAACACAGCAAAAATCTTAAAAAAGAAACCATAGTTTCAATGTATTAAGAAAGAAATCATATCTAAAGCTGCAAAGAAGTGGTGGCACCATTTTTGTCATTACAATATTGCAACAAATAAATTTTAAAATGTCTGTCTAATACTCAAAAAAAAAACTTCAGCAATTCTAATTTTTCATGCAGCTTAACTGAAAAACACCCATCTTTCTAAACACACACAGACACACACACACACACACACACACACACATTAAGTAACCCACAGTCATTGTCTAAACTGCTTTTGTTTCTAGAACCAGAAAGCCTTAGGCCGGTTCTAACTCAGTGGGTGAAGCCAGCATTTCCATCTTGTTTGCAGTCAAGATAGTTGGGAAAGAAGCACACTATGTCTCTTGTCTTATGATGCTCCCAGCTGTGCTTGTTGTGGCTTTTTGGGGACTGAACCAGTGGATGCAAGACCTCTCTCACTTTTTCCTGTTTATTCCTTTCTTTCTGTAACTGTGACTTTCAAACAAAATAGATGTTAAAACAACAACAAAAAGAACAAGATGGCCTAGATTTTAAAAATAACATGTAGTAATTGAAAAACAATATAAATGTATTTAACATAGTAAATTGAACATTTAAAAATTCAACATGTGCACCATGGGATGGCAGAATTGACTAGTCCTCCCCTTGCAAGCACAGGGCTCCCATCAGGGTGTCAGTTCATGTCCTGGCTGCTCCACATTCTAACCAGCCCCTTGCTTGTGGCGGAGGAGAATGATCCAAAGTTTGTGACCCTGTACTTACATGGGAAATCTGGAAAAAGCTCCTGGCTCCTGGTTTCTAATCAGCTCTAGCCTTTGCAACCAATAGATGGATAATCTGTCTCTCCTCTCTCTAAATCTGAACTTCCAATAAAAATTTAAAAATTTTTAATAAGAAATTCAGCATATAAAAATAATGTTTTGTGTTTAATCACCACAATTAGAAGAATCGTTAGGTACAATCCTTTTGAATAAATATGAATAGGGGATAATGGGCTTTCAATTTATTCATTTGTATTTGGAGATTTTTATGTGGCATCAGGTAAATTAAAATATTCATTTGTGTTTATTTCATGGCATCAGGTACAAGCTTTATTACTCATTGTTACTAACATCCATTTGAATAATAACACAATTTTAATGATTCAATCGTTTATTCAGTTATTATGTGGACAAATGTGAAGTATTTAATTGCCTAGCAAAATAGTTCAAAAAAGAAAATTGCTCTTATATTTGTAATCAGCATTGTTACACATTTAACAATACACTGTGGGTGTGTGTGTCATGTTAATAAACCACAAGAACACTGACTAATCTATTTAACAGTCACACCAGGAACAGCATTCGCTGTTACACCTTTTATCAAATGTTACACATTTTTATCAAAGTTTCTTCCTTAAGTCTCAGGGTACCCAAACTGAAAGACATGACTGGATTAAGTAGGATTGGTTTTAGTCCTTAAAGACACTCGGTGTTCACAGCTAGGAGTTTTACACCAGGCAGTGTACAGTTATCCTGGGCATATACCAAAATTCAGTGATGAACAATTAAGTATCAGCCGGTGATGCACAACCACACACTCTCATTATTTGAACATTGCTCTTCTTCACAAAATATGTCATGTCAACCATCTCCTCCATAAATAATGAAATTAATGAGATTAACAAAACATGTGAGATTTGTAGGTATAGTCAGGCTATATCAATTTCTTTTAGAAACAGTTTAGATTTCCATAGTAGCAGCCATTTAATCCTTATTGTATGGTCTGAAATTTGTACAGGAATGAAAACTATCTCTACATATAACTGTTCTCACAGTTCCATGTACATGTTTGTTACAATCATCATTACGAACTTTTTGCAGATGCAATATCTTCTGAGAAATGAGCAAGAAATGAGGAATCGTGATTGAATTAAATATAAAATCTAATAAAATAATTCTGAGCCTCATACTTTGTTTTGAGTTTCAGCTAGTTTTATTTCTCTGTTTATTTTAATAATAGCAAATAACAAGATCAGTGATAGAAACATTGGTATAGCATCCAATGTGAGCCACAAATAATAAATTTACCAATTATGTGTTTTACATACATAAACACATACACGTATATGCATGTGCATACACAACCAATTTTATACGATAGTACTTCAAATGTCATAAGATACTTTGAAAAAAATAGACATTTTGTTGTGAAAAACATTTTTTGGAAACTATGTGTACCTATTCTGTAATTGAACCAGTTTCCTGTAGCTAACATCCCAATGTTTATCTTGGAAAGTGTAATGTATCTTGTTAATATTGACCATTATTAAGAAGTAAATACAAAATTTATGCCAAAGTAGTCTTTGGACATTTTTCCCTTAGAGGTTTTCATGATGGTATTGGTGTGGATAATAGGGAAGATTCGCTGAGAATAAATTTTCAAGTATTTACCATACTTCAATAAATTCTAGTCAGCCTTTATATATGACTATAGTATTTTGCTTGCTTAGAAGCAAAAAGATAATAACTTGATTATATGAAGCTAGTTTTTTCCATTTATAGCACAATGTGCTTTTATACCAAAATAGATATGTATTCAAATTCAATCAGATTTATATTCTTAAAAAAAAAGAAAAAAAGATTTATATTCTTATGTTCAAAACTGGAGAACAAATAATGTGCTTACTATGATACATACCAGAAAGTTGATAGCAGAAACTGCTATTTGCCTGTTTCCAAATGCTAGAGAATAAAGTAAGATGTTAAACCAAACCCCACACACAGGATTATCACACGACATATAAAACAAAGAATAGTTTCTGACAGTTGAATGGAATTTAGTAGTTTCTGAGAATTCATATAGTTCAAAGTAATGTATAAACGTATAGCTGTTAGAACCTTCTTCATAGAGCAACACTTTATGGTAAATGGTGAACAATGTCACTGGAATATATCTTTGTATGCATCTTTCAATAAAATTTTACTTTAGGGGGCAAGGCACAGTATTCTAGTGACTAAAGTCCTCGCCTTGAACGCTCTGAGATCTCATATGGGCACTGGTTCTAATCCCAGCAACCGTACTTCCCATCCAGCTTCCTGCTTGTGGCCTGGAAAACACTGGAGGATGGCCCAAAACCTTGGGACTCTGCACCCACGTGGGACACCCTAAAGAAATTCCGGGCTCCTGGCTTCAGATTGGAGCAGTACCAGAGGTTGCAGTCACTTGGGGAGTGAATCAGTGCAGAGAAGATCTTCCTTCCTGTGTCTCCTTTCTGTTTATCGGACTTTGCAATAAAAAATTCTAAAAAATACATCTTAAAAAAGAAATAAAGTACAACAAATGAAATCTTATGATATATGCGTTAGGCACACTTATCTGAGGCCTTTTTTTCTTTCTAAATTTGAGGGTAAAAAATACAGTTTGTAACATTCCTGATTTGTGGATAAGGTGCCACTTATGACCCATTTTTGCACAATGAAGTAACAAATGTGTGGGGTTCTAGACAGGAGCCATAAAGCACAGAAAGATGCTCTGTACATGATTTAGAAATTATTACAACACGGGATGACGTGCCTTCTAACAAGGCATTTTAAAAGAATGACATTCTTTTGTAATGTAAAGCCTAATAATCGGTTTAAACTATCATAATTCAAAGAGAGCTTTTTTTTGTTAATCCTGCTACTAAACAAGATGCCTACATTACGATCTAAACAAAAGCTAACTCATAAGGGATCAAGTAACTCAACCCAAGAACTGAAATTATGAAATAACTAGATGACAACATAGGGTAAATGCTGCAAGACATTGATTCTGGCAAAGAATTCTTGGGTTATACAGCACATATTCATGGGGTACATGTACGCATGTGTTAACGTCCAACCAGGTTAATTGCAATTATCGTTCCTTGCAGGTAGCACTGCCTTGAAGTGAAAGCTTACAACAAGCAAACTTTCAGGATTTTTTAAAATAAGGAATATACAGTATATTAACATTATTTATAGTAAGAACCCCATAAATTGTTACTCAGATCCACCTGTAACTTGGTACTCGTCAATCATTTATTATTTGTTTTGTGATTTGGCCCCATACCGTCTGGTAACTACCTTGAAAATTTCGATTTTGATTAAATCGTCTATTTGTTCGATTCCACACACAAGTGAGATAATGTGTAGCTTTTTTCATACTGCTTAATGGCCTCCAATTGCACCTGTAGTATTTCAAATCACAAGATTATTTGGTTTTTGTTGCTGAATATTATTTTGTTTAGTACATGATGGTTGCAACGGTGACCAGAGGAGAGAGAAGTCGGCTTCGAGCCGGATGTGTCACTCTGACCACAGGCTACAACCCGGAAGGGACAGCGGAATTCTGGGGCAAGCCTCAGACAACGGGGTCACTGCTATACCAACGACGGACACGTCCATTTTCCTCAACAAGTAAGGGCTGAAGCAACCCTCACTTCAGCTTCCGTGTCAAGGGGTTTAGAATTCCTTTGCATGTCTCGTCCTGGCTCTTCTTCCTCTGAAGCTCCCCGCATCCTGTCTTTCTGCTGCCCAGGGAAGGGAAGCCCATGACCACAATTCCCTGGAATAAAGGCCATCTAAATTATTTTCCATATGTGGCTGATATGTTCCTTCCCTGATGGCCAGCAAATCTTATTGTACATATACAAATTATTTTCTTAATGCTGTTACCATTTCTGGATGGCTGTGAGTACGCTTGCAATATCTTGGGGAGGATGGGATGGCTATCTGTCATTTATTTTCCAACCTACAAGGATCCAGTTGCTTCTTTCTCCATATCTAAGCCAGCAGTTGTGATTTTCTGCTTCTGGCAACAGTCAAGTTTAACTGAATAGGGAATATCACAGAGTGTTTTTGACTTGCATTTACCTAATCATTATGAATGTCAAGATTTTTTTTTCATGAATTGCTGGCCTTTTGTATCTTTCAAAAATAATACCTGTTAAGACATACCCCTCAGTGCTGATTGGATTAGTTGTGGTGACGTCATTTGAATTTCCAGCATATTTTGGGTATTTACACCTCTTTAAAAGCGGAGTTTCTCCATTTGTTGCTGCGTTGTGTAGACTGTCTGTTCAGACTCTTTATTGACTGGGTACGTGAATGTTGTTTAATTTGATGCAATCTTACCACATCCTGATTTCCTGTGATTTGGGGTTTTGAATCAGAAAATGTTTGCTGTTCCCAATACCCGGAAGCATTGTTCTTATGTAATCACCTAGTAAGTTCAAAGGTTCAGATACCTACAACATTAGGATAGTCAATGTGCTTGAAATTATATTCCATACATTGAGAAATATGTTAGTTTATTTCATCTGTATTTACATATGTAGTTTTTATTTCTAACATCATTATGCATATGCAGCGATTTTTTAGAAAAAAAAAGACTAAAATCACTATTCTTTACCCAAGTATACATTTAGCACCTTTGGTACCACTAATTTGCTGCAGATGTACATCGTTATTTCAAGGGCTTCTGTTCCCTTCTGTTGGTTTCTGCACTTGCTTTAGTGTTAACAGCACATTGTTTTAATTACTGTAATACTGCAATCTATTTTTAAAGTCATGTAGTGTAATATCTCTTGATTCACACTTTATGCTCAATCTACTTGAGTTTAGGCTATCTTGTGATTCATCACAAATTATAGCAGTTTTTGTTTTGTGCTATTTTTTTTAATTCTGTGAAAAATATGCTTAGCATTATAAACTTATGAACTTATAAACATTTTTGGGAGCTATGTACATTTTAATGATATTGATTTTTCCAACCCATGATCAGGGGATGTACTTCTATTTAATTTTTGTTATCCTTAATTTCTTCCATCAATAATTTACAATTCTTATTGCAAAGATAATGCATTTCTTTGGTGAGATGTATTCAAGGTTTTATTTTTGTTGCTACTGGGAGTTGTGTTCTTAATCTAGCATTCAGATGATTTACTGCTGGTGAATAGCGTTATTACTGATTTGTATATATTTACGCTGTAAATTACAACCCACTGAATTTATTACTTATAATAGCTTTTTCTTAGAGTCTTTGGGGTTTTCTGTTTAAATGTATGCTACCTTCAAACAATGATAACTTGATTTCCTTCTTTCCAGATGAGATGCCGTTTACTGCTTTCTCTCGCTGGGTATTTCCCAGTGGGCTTCCCGGTGTTTTATCGAATGAAAATGCTGATAGTTGTCATTCTTGTTTCATGCCAGAAAACACTTAAAATTTCTCTCACATCATATGAGACAAGCTATTGGTTTGCTCTATGGAGTCTTTGCTGTATTAAAATATATTCTTTCCACACAATAATTTCTTCTGAGTTTTTAATCATGCAAGAATATTTAATTTCATCAAATATTTTCAGCTACAATGTTAAATAATTATATAATCATTTTCAACATCATTCTATTGATGATGTGTGTTTGAGTCATCGAGTTGCATGTAAGTTGCACATTAAGTCATTCTTAAATTCCAACTGATTATGTGGGTTGATATTTTTAAAGTGTTGTTTAATCTAAATTGCTCATATTTTGTTAGGGTTTGTCTTCTTGTAAGTTCCTCGAAGACAACGGTCTGTAATTTTCTCCATTGTTGCTGGGTTATGGTCTTGTTTTGGTATCAAAACAATGCTGGTCTCAATTAATTAAATTGTATGCATCCCTTCTCATTCTATACTCTGGAAAAAAAAATGGATGTTCAGTCTGTAGTTTTGCTTACATGTTTGGAAAATTTAGCGGTTAAGCTACCTGTTTCTAGGCATCTTTAGCCACTATGTGCTTCACAAACAGAGATGAAGAGCTCATTGTAATTTTAGACTTGCTGCAACTACAATTAACATAGCCTAGCAACCAAAATTTCAACCATGGTATCCAGAGCTGGTATTTTTATATTCAATTAAAATAACTAAAATCTTTATGCATCAATCATGCAAATCAATGTTGTCTATGCAAAAAAAAAATCAAAGTTAACATTATATGCTCCGTACACTTTCAAGGAAATTTTTTTTTGTTTGAAAAATCTATTTTTATTGGAACAAATGACTTGCAGAGAGAAAAAGAGGCAGGGTTGAAGGAGAGATCACCCATCTGCTCTCTTCTCAAATGTCCACAAGGGCCTGTCAGGGCTGAGCAGATCTGAAGCCAGGAGCCAGGAGTTTTGCTCTGAGTGTCTTATGTGGGGGTATTGTCCCAAGGCTTTGGACCATTCTCTGTTGCTTTCCCAAGCCCTAAGTAGGGAACTGCATTGGAAGTCGAGTACCTGCACTTCATGGTATGTCAGTGTTCTGAGAGGAATTTGCAGTTGAGCCCACCTAACTGACCCAGGAATTTTGTTTCTACTTCAACCATTTTCGTTTTAAAGGTCTTGATCACATTGCCATTTTTAGAGTCTGATTTTTTTAAAATCCAATTTTCAAACGTCTGATCAATTGACAATGTTATTTCTCATAAAAGAAAGCATGGGTTTTCAGTTTGATAATTGCTATGCTTAGAGTAAGTGTTGCTTATATACTAACAAAATCACGCCCCAATTTTATTATGCACACAAATGTCAGTATAGCTTTTTCCATAAACTTCTCTTCCCGAGAAGAGAAAATGTATGCCACTTAATGTTGTAAAGTTGGTAAAAACATTTTACAGTACAATATTTTTCTGAAACAGAGAAATTTCTGTTCAAGCAGTTAGTTGTCACTACTGAGTAAACATTCTGGACTCTTTAAGTTTGGAAGAAGCATTGTTTTGAAAATTAATTCCTTAGTTCATTGACCAAATGAAATCCTTGACTTACCTCAATCCAGAGCTGCAAAATTGTAGTTCTATCATGGCAAATTAAACAAATTTATTCCTAAAGACTTGACCAAAAGCTTGAATGAACTTTTCAATCCCATCAATCTTAAATTTTAAAGAGCCAGAAATCACCATGAAAACAGTTTTAACTGATTTGAAAGAGAAAAAAGCACCTTCATTATCTTGTGCAATGTCTGATTTGTGGGCTGCAGTAAAACTGAGAATGAGAGCAGCCACGTGAAATGAAGCAGTACCCCAGACTGATTAGGCTTTCTGACTCAAGGTTAGAGTCTGGATAGTTATTATTTCCACGCAACTGCTCATTTGAGTGAAGCAGGACTAAGACATTTAGTAAATCAATTTACAATTGAAACGGATACATCATGGAAGCAAAGGAGTTTCTATTTTTCATTGAATAGTACCTGACAGTATTACTGTTTATTATCTGTTTGCTAACTCTACGGTCCTTGTTTGTAATGATTATATAGCTATACCGCCTAGAACTTATCCTTTCTAATCTTACCATGTGACCATTTTAAAGTTTTCATCAGGTAATATTTTTCCTGGAATTTCTGTTCAGAAAAAATGAATCAAAATTTCTAAATCACAGTTAGTCTTTTAAGTATGCACAACAATTTCTTAGAGAAAACTACAAAAAAAGTTTAAAGTTATTTTTATATATTTATTAATTTAAATATGGTGTCTATCATTCCTGTATGGTTGACAACACATCTGATGTTCTTAATTAGATCTGAGTTAGAAAGGAAAAATTCCTACTTACATGGTGGTGTATATCGTGGGTGATTTATGTAGTATGCAATCCAAGATGTGAATCCCCAATAAAATGCACAGCCCTCCAGATAAAACAAAACACACAAAAAATGGGAAATGGCAATACAAATAACAATTTTATTTACTGTGGCGTTTTCTATGAAAACTTGTATAAGTTGTCTAAGATAGATAGGCAGAATCCTTCTAGAAAAGTGGCATTTTAAAGGGCTCTTTTCAGATCATTAGTGAGACGCATTTGATCTTTGCAATATAAGTCAAATATAATAACATATCTTAGAGAATTTTGTAAACGATGATTTTTTTTCTATGAAATAGAACTGAAATAGTAAAATAATAAACCCACTAATGTGCAAATACAGTATTAACACTTTTCTTGTCAGTAAAGAGAGTTATGGATTATTTCAGCACTATGAGTAGCAAAACCCAGCCTTGGATCTCAGCTCTGGTGGTGTAGCTAGTTAGGGTAGTAAACAAGTGGCTAAAAACTTTTCTGCCTTTATTCTCTTTGCAAAATCTACATTTCATACAAAAATAAATGAATCCTCCTTTTAAATCACATGTCCTGAGTTTTACTGTCTTAAACTACCATGCTGTGCTTGCTCCAGCAGTACATACACTAAACTATGATGACTCTGTACTAAGTAATACATTTTACTATTTCTTTCCAAAAAAAAGAATGTCTGAATGATCTTGTAACTTAGTATTCTAAAGTTTGCTGTTTTTTTAAATCAAACTTACAATAATAAAATAACTGTCATGTAGACATTTTTAGAAAATAGGTATTTCCCAAAACAAGGGAATGGTTTATAAGAACATAACTTCTTTTGACAATGAATCTTAAAAAGAAAACAAAATGAATTAAATTTAAAATTACATTTTTAAAAATGAAATGTGATGCTGCCATTTATAGATGTGCTTGATTGTTGTGTGATGTTGGATAATGTTTACATTCACCATTGCGAATAACCAACACAATGACTGAATAAACCAAGACTTGGTGCTTTGGGGTACAAGCGAGATCGTGCCAGAAATGTCTACGGTTTATTAAGGAGTCTTTATTAACCAAGCTTAGTGATAATAGAGCATACTAGAAATAGCAATTCACAAGTCCATATGGCAATCCAACCAATCATAATCCAACCAAACATAATCCAAAAAGGAACAAATGGTCATTATCCTTAAGTCCATCCATTAAGCTGAAGACCTATGTCCCAGCTTCCTCAACAATATGTTATCCTAAGAGACATGCAATGAATAACCTGGACACACTTACAAAGCTGCAGACATTCACCATTCCCTGGCTTCTCTGCCAACATTCCACTACTGCTAGGCCTCACCTCTCCTGGACCTCTTGATAGTACACAAACCAGATACAACATTACTATATCTATTGTCCAATCTGAGCAGAACATAGGGACCATGCTCAGGGGATTACCTGTCCTGGGTCATCAGAGAGTCAAGGTGCCAGAGTAACAGAAACACCTGACTAGAAAGAGAGAGAGCCCCTGCTTCACGGGCCTTTTAAAGGGGCTTGTGAGGGGAGTCGCTACACAATGATGCAATACCGTACTGTCTTATTTGATAGGTGAGTCACAGGTGGGCAGGAGCGAATACCTTGTGTTGTGGGCTAAGGAATTGATTAGTGCTCATCGGGATGGGCAGGAGCAGAAACTGGGCTTATAGCTAAAACCCCCTAGACTTATTGGACTCATCTGGTTAAATTAGGACGTGGGAGGTTTGGTTGAGGATGGAATTAACATTCCATTGCTGTTAGGACCCACCTTCAGGACAGAGGGTAGGGGACACAGCTAAATTTCATTTGCCAACTGTAAATAGGTGCTGACTGTCACTGACTGCACCCTATAACATTAGAAATCTTTTTATTATTTTTTTAATTTAATGAAAGATTTTAATCATACACAGATGATTGCACGTTGCAATGCCCATTTGTGAAATGCTTCCTTTTAATGTGGAAATTAGGAATATGGATTAAGAAGACCTATCCCTCAAATCAAGAATTTCCTAGAACTGGCAAGGTTGTCCTCATACCTTTGATTATCATAAAGAGTTCTGTTGGTTAAAGGCAGTTTCAGTGAGATAATTTACCAAGAAAAAAGAAATTCAGAAGCAAATTTTTATGATATACTGGTTCAGTGGAATTAAAAAGAAATCCAAGATTGAGGGGACACATATTGAATGTCTTCAAAATGTTGCAACATATGCAATGTTTCAAAAGGTGAAATACAACAATTCCTACCTTTATCAAGTTTTTCAAAGGTGTATGTCCTGCAGATACTTTGTGAACAAATAAAGTTTCCAAAAGATACCGGATATAGTGTATACAATGGCAGAAACAAGCCAGGCTGGAACAACAATAGCAAAAACACACATAAGAAACACTTTTTCAAATTTCAGCCTGGTTTCGGTACAAGACAGTGACGATACCTCCGGTATACTGTACTTCTATTAATTTGGAAGCGTTTCCAGGGCCCAAATACTCTCTACTAGATATTTTCTAAATTTACTTAATAATAAATGCGATTGTGATGACAGACTACGCAAATTTACTTTTGATGATTACTAGCGATGTTGCATACGGCCAGTCATAAACAGGTTCATATCACCCCAGAAGCAGCTAAAGATATAATCATTACAAATGTGCTCATATCCAATTGCTGCAACATTTCAGTAGACAATTTATGAGTTGAAGCATCACCGAAACCTGCCTGGAATGTGTTTGACATTTTGTGATAATCACAATAACTTTCTTAATTGTCTAGTTGTCCTTTAGCGAATAATAAAATTGAGAAAGTTTGCATTTCATTTTCTATGAGGTAATGCAGCTTTCAGTGGGTTGTTGTTGCTTTATTTGTTTAGTTTCCGCCTACGCGATAGATACTTTTTAATCTTGTTGGTGTGTTCTGACTTAGTATCCATTTTAATATGTTTGGATAACGAGGGCTCTGTGAACTTCATTATGCATAACACTTACTGTACAACAGGGTGGCGAGCTCGCCTAGAACTCTCCTTCATGTCGTATATGTAGGATAGCCTCAGATAAAAGAGGAGGTAGAGGAGTAGAGGGCCTGTGTATTCCACCAAAAACACCTGAAAAGAAGGAGGTGATTTAGAATAAAACAGAATGTGGCATTTTTTTTTTAAAGTTTTCTTCATGAGTGAGCCCACAGCAGGGATTAGTGAAATGAGCAGCGAATATCTGTAGGTGCTGAAACAAACCATACATCTTCCTGCAGCAGTCAGGGAGAAAAGCAAGTATATGCGCATTCATCAAGAAGAGAAAAAAAATACTGAATATAGTGACTGTAGTGTCACTGCAGGGTAACTCAGACTCTGTTGGATTAAACACATAAGACTGTTTTTATGTTTCCCACCACAATACATAGTTTGTATTTTATGCAAATTCTCCCTATCACTGAGTTAAATGAACCCGAGCACCTGCTTCTCCATTGTCTCATCCTGTTTCTTTTTTTTCCTTTCCTTGACTCTCTGATTTTGAACTCTCTTAACTTCTATGTGATTTAAACTGAAATAATTCAATCTTTTTTTTTTTTTACTAGAATCATGTCCTTTCCTTCTAATGAATCTCGCAGTGCCACTAGAAAAATTCACTTTTGAATACTAGACTCAGGCTCAACCATCCGAGAGGAGAGGGAGATCGGATCTGCAGAGTGAATGAAAAGATTGGAAAGATAATTGCTAACATGATCATATGATTACAGAAAGATAAATTATCTGACTGAATTCCTATTAGTTTTTATATAAGTGTCCCTATTTGCTTTATTTTCATGTGAATGCCAGAGGAAAGTTACATTGGAATATTCAGACAGAAAAGGATAAAACTTACTTCTGAAGGATCAAAAAGAAAACACAATGAGAAGACAGATTAATTTGACAGTCATTAACTATTTAGCTTTGTCTTAACCTGCTTTCATTATATTTTGAATCAGGAACCTTAACCCTTTATGTGTTCTCAAGTATGTATTACATATTATCAATATATATTGATTAGAAATCATGTTTGCATTTCTAGTAATAAGGTTGTATAACTAAAGGGCTAAAATATTTGACCCATATGCTTGATTTTGCACATATGTATGTAAATATATGTATTTATATACACAGAATATGATATATATGGGCTCTTTAGAAATTCTGCCTTTGAGTAATATATTTTCTCTCGTTAGCAAGGACATCCTTTCTATGGAAGTAAGAATCATACTGCATTTGATCATTTAAATATAAAAGCATGCTACTATGAAGGATATAGAATCTACTATATGCCTAAGTATTCAGAATAAAGCAGAGTGTTTTTCACTTTGGAATATTCAATGTTATAGCCTACTTGACACTCGGAGAAATGCAGTGAATAATTACTTCAGTAGAATAACAGTTTAAAAGAATTATTCTAGGCCATATGACCTCATGGAGTCATATTTGAGCAAATCATTTGGAAATATTTCCAGAGTGAAAAAATGTAGGGAATAGCTAGCTTAAACCTGTGTTACCATTTATTAATCTAATAAAAGTTTACCACCAATATGAAGGTACTTTGGGTCAGAGGCCATTAAGTTGCACTCATGTGTATCATCACTAATGATTGTGAACAGTCCACTAGCATGTAGACTGTATGTAGCGTGTATCTTATCACAACTCTTGTTCATGCTGAAACACAGAAGTGAAAACAGCGTTAAGACGTAAAGGATATATTTTTAAAGCCCTGGAGAATGACATACATTTGGACAACACGCCTATCAAAAGAAATGCACTTTCATGTGGATAGAAGAAATGGAGAAGGCATTTCATGAAACTTAAAGCCTGATTACAAAATAGTTCCAGAGTAAGACAAACAAGATTTGCATGGATGAGCATTAATAAGTCTAAATGAAGCAATGTTATGTTTAATATTTTAGGATACAATATTTTTGAGAAAACTGATAAAGTCTTACCTTTGATCTTGTTAAAGACTATAAAGTAGTCTTCAAAATACTCATAGTAGGTGTACATTTTAGTAATAATTTTTAAATTCTAAGAATATTATGCATGATGAGTATTAATTTAGTTGCAAAACTCCATTATAAAATGAGTTTAATTGCAATATAATGTGTATCTTTTTAGCATTTGTTAGGACCGACTCATTTTAACTATGGAATGGGTGAAACATACAGTTGATTTAAAAATACCCAGGCAATTTTCATCATGCTTTTTGTCACATACATGACTTTTCCTACCAAATAAGCTGTAATTTTCCAGTACAATTGTCATAGAATTCCAGCATAGCACTTTTTCCTCCTGGTTCTTATCCAAGTGATGCAGCTGGAATTTCTAATGAACTCACAGTTACTGCAATTCACTCTGAAATAATTTCTAGAAACAGAACACTCTTTTCATCAAAAATGCAGACTAGGACCTTTGAATACTTAACCTCTGAGGATCAAATAATCTGTATAAAATCTCTTTTAGAGAGATCTATACTTAGACCATATTACCAACATTAGGTAGGTTGATGTGTTAGATACATCAATACGTTGTTTTCTGAGAATCTTAATTTACTTTAGCAAATTCCAAGCTGAGTCAATGCTTATTACATCAAGCTAGACCAGGAAGCCTCATGATTTTTACAGACTATGTAAGGAAAGAAACACTAAAGCAGAATTAAGTATTTAAAAATATGAAGCATTATGTTTCAAAAGGAGAGCCTGTGTTGGGTTCCTGCCTGGAATGAAAGATGTCCACCTAGCGAGCAACAGCCCCCACTGGACCACCTGGCTCTGAGTCCCAATTCACTGCAGACTCAGGCCTCAAGTTCCTGTGCAGCCTGGGAAGCAGGTGGTGGTTCAGTAGCTGAGATCCTGGTATGTGCACAGTTTGTTCCCCGCTTTAGACTCAAGCACGATCATGGTGTGTATTTGCAGACTGAACCAACTGAAGGACACAATCTCAGAATCCCTCCGCTTTAGTAGAAAAAAAAGCATAAGTAGGAAAATATAGTTATAATGCTCTTAGACTAATTAATAATCCAAATACAATTTTTCTTTTGGAGAATAAAACAATGTATAAATTAGCTTTTATGTGTATTATTTTAATTCAGTAAGTATAAAATAAATACTTGAATCCCTGAGTGATAATATTTACTGCTACTCCATTCAAAGATAAAAAATGTTCTGAAAAGGAACTATCAGGTATAGGATAAATGTAATAAAGAAATAAAATGATATTTTCGTGGATTTAATAACACCTGTATTAATATAAGGAATTCAGGTCAATTGAAAAAGTAAAATGCACTTTTCTTTGTGTATTAATGTGTAAATCACTTACAGTTATAATTATTCAATTTATTTAGTATCTAATTCATGGTCAGTGTTAAGATTTGCAAGATAATGTAAGTATTTTTGCTTTTTTAATGTTGTATGTTTTTAAAGATGTATACCTTATTTTTCCAAACCCTTGAAACTCCTATGCATTTGTAAAGCAAAAAGCAAAACAAAAACAAAAGTTTAAAAATTCCACTAGCTGAAAGAATTCTTTAGTTTCAGCATTTTGGGTATATCCTTCTCCTCTCTCTCTGTCTGTGTCTGTCTCTGTTTTTTAAATCGATTATTCTATGCTCCCTCTTTTCAGGTTAAGAGTGTTATTAATCTATCTTTACAATGCCAGAAGGAAAGAATCTGAGAAGCAATAATGGAAAAATGCTGGAGTCCCAGTCACAGCCAGAACTCACATAAAACTGTGACCTGTGGATTTTGTAGCTCCCGTTCAGTTCTTGAATAGAACTCTTTCCATTGAGCATAGTAAGATAAAAATGAATATTTAAAGCACAATTCAGAACAATATTTTGTTTCACTGCTTTTTATTTCATGAACATAGAGTGTAGGAAGGCAAATTATTAAAAGAAAAAATGAGATATGCATATTGAATTTCAAATTGAGACTTACAGTTGTCCATCTGACTTGTTGACCTAGATCGGTAAAATACAATGTGACGATAGAGGAGGCTGCAACACTTTCAATGGTGACATAGTCCTTCAAGAATGGTCCACCTACCATAAGAGCAGTAAGAAAACACTCTTTTAATGCCATTAAGGCATGATGACAAAGAACTTCTTAACATTAAATCAGTGAAATCAAAGTTTTATGTTTTACCACATGTGCAATTGTCCATCAGTATAAAATAAGAAAAGTGAAAAATCTACTCAGTGACTATTTAATTAGACAATGATGCTCAGTGCTATGTACTTGAAGTTCTGGCTACTGTACATACTACTGTTCCTGGGACAAATGTACAGGTATTCACACCTTGAAATTTTGGGCTATTAAAATGTATGTACTATGATAGTAGTATTTACAACTATGACTAATGGAGCATGCAGAAGGTACCCACACTATATGTTTTTTATATATAATCTGACATAACACTAGAAATGATTTATTTTTGCTTGGTCTCCCTTTCCAGCGTAACACTATCGCTTATGGGGAGGAAATTAAAATCAAATTTAATTAAAATGACCACTTTTAATACCAAACTCTGTTTTCTCTCACTAAGGAAAATAAATTGGTTTTCAAACCCATCATCATCTTTATATCAAAGCTTACCCAAAACTCTACTGTACTCACAATACACCTAAGTTACATCAGTTAAGTAAGTATGAGGAACAAATGAGATTGCATCTTCACTAATAAACCTGAACCTATGGAGAGGACAGCCATTTCTCGCCCTCTTATGGTGACTTTCATCAAGAAGTTACACTTGACTTTAATGCCTGTAGCATTCTGAATCTTTGTATAAGAGTTGAGTTTACAAATAACGCCAATGTACTCTTGTGTCATGTAGGTCAGTCCTTGAGGGGAGAACATTTTGGTGCTTGACATGCACTAAGTCCCGTAGCAGTAAAATCATATGACAATGATTTTGCTTCTTGAAATTATAGTCAGATGGGAAATTTTCTTGAACACTTGATAAGTCGGAAATCATCAGAAAAGTATGTTGTCTAGGAGTGCCAAGGAATTCTATGAGACAAGCACAATATTTTCAAGAGCATTACAGAAATTATTCTGTCAAACGCTGTATGCTATATGTGAGAAAGGATAGTCTAGCAGCAGAAGCACTTCATTTTGGAGGAAATGCATTGATTGCAAACCCTTAACAGGTACGTCTTCAAGACTTGCTGCTTATGACTTTAATCTTGAAATTCTCACTCCATGCAAAATGTATATTCTACTATAGTGTGAATCAAAGGTCAGCATTGCTTTGATTAAGTGTATCAAATCAGAGTAACAATAATTTTTTGATAAAATTTATTTTCAAAATTATTTTTAATCAGCTTTGAAATTAAAAAATAAGCTTAATCATCAATATGATATTTCATGTACAGATTCACTAATATGTCTCCAAACACCCATTCTGCTTTACAGGAATAAAAAATGAAAGAAATAAAAAGGTATTACTTCAGATCATTTACTCAACACTCACATATATGACCCTTTTTGAACAAAATCCTCCTCTATAAAATTGCAGCAATAATTTGTTGGCAGGATCAATTTAGATAATTATCAATATTTACACATTTATGTATGAGCATATACTGAGTATACATTGATTGATAGCAGAGGAGGAATTTTATATTAAACACAGAGCTAACAAAATTGGTGCTTACCACATTCTAGCTGCAGGCCGACACGAGAAGGGCACCATTGTGGACCTATGCAAAGGAAATTAACATTTCATTGCCAGGAAAAATGTAAAATTAGTTCACAAATTTAATAATTCCAATTGTAGGACAGATTTGAATTATAGAGTAAGCAAAATGACAGCATAGTATCCAGCATAATAGCTAACTTAGGTTAGCTTTACCATTGAGCAGCTGTGGTGAAGAATAAAAGAAAATATGCTTTGACAATCACAATTTTATGCTTTTCTCAGGGTTTGATGTTGTGATAGAGTGGGTTAGTTTATCACCTGGTACTTGAATAAAAAAAAAATCGCAACTGAAAATCAGAAGGCCCTTGCCTTATCAAAAAAAACTTAATGATATCAACACTACAGTAAACTTGAAGTAAGGTCATAAAATCCTATAAAAGAAACATTTCATTTAAAAGAGAAAAACTCTAGCTCACAGAATCAACTCCATTTAATCAAAAATGACTTTCTAGAATGACCCCCAAATAACTTCATTGAAAAACAATTATGGGCATTATAGTAAGTACATTTTTAAGGTCAAATTATGAGCATGACAGTAAGTACATTTTAAGGCCATCCATGCACTAATTCAATGAACAAGACTGTAATGTGAGCAAATTAAGAGAACTACATGCATGAAATAAAATAAAGGAATTGATTTCCTGGAAAATAATGATAATAGAATCTTTGTCCTTAAAGAAACCAGATCAAAGTTTCATCAATACATTTAGTCTCAAAAATTTAAAGCAAAGATAACACACAAGAGGACAATCACAGAAAATGTCAAATATCATTTTTCTTAAAACCTTGTTTTTCATGTAATCACTCTGAAACATTGTAGCTTTAAAAAAAGAGATTTAAGAGATAATGAAAATGATTTCCAAAGACCTGAAAAAATGCTGAGAGGAATCTACACAGGATTATTCCAAAGTGTAGCCTCAGGGCTAATTGGTTGGAAGAAGATCTTTTGTACAGTGAAAATCCCATTAAAATTAAAAATAGAAAATAATTGGTTGCATCTAATGCATGTGTGTAAAGTGCATATTAAAAGGATAATGGAGCATAGATTCCCATATTGATGAAAGATGAACTCAAACTTTAAGGACACATGTCCTTTACAAAAAGTATCCTAGATTGTCTGATAAATATTACCTTTATTTCTCTAGTCTTAATAATATCTATTTAATCATTGACTAAAGTATCTTAAATTGAAAAAAATGGCTGATGGGATTAGCATGCGCAAACATGCTTTTATGTATAGAATATTTATATCTAAATAAAATATGTACAGGAGTATTCATATATTTTACCAAAGGAAAATAATCGTTTTGCAATTTTGCTTCGTACAAACTGCTAACTGTGCCTCCACATGCCTTCTCAGAATTCTCCAGCTGACCTCTTTGCACCATTGGTGTGTCATCTCCAAAAACTTCCTGAGCATAAAAGTGCATTTCAAAAAAGCCCTTTGATGTCTAACTTTAATATAAACTCGTTTATCTCAAAATATATTCTTGCAACTATCCTTTTACTCATTTCTTCAGATATTATGTGGAGAATGATGTCTTGTCAATTCAATACTCGTGTTTGAAAACTTCAAAGGACATTTCATTGAAAAGCTTTATAATTTCAGATAAACCAGTTTGTCGGGAGATATGCCTCAGCTACCACCTTTGTTCTTTCTTTGGTTTTTAATGCTTTTGTTCATATGAAGATAACAGATTTTATACATTCCATAGATGTGATTCCAAGGAGACAATCATGGATTCCTCACACTCCTGCTCCCTGTAATTCTCTTCCTGCTGTCTTCTCCTCCTTAGTTTTTGCAGACATAATGCTAATCCACTCTGTATTAAAAATAAATTTCTCTATTAGTCCCAATATTCAACAAGTGAAGACTAGAAAAATTACAGTTTCACAATAGTATGAATAAGGGCTACAGAAATATTCATATCCACAAATTAATATTTCATTCTATGCATCTTTCTTACTCTATTCTTACCACCATGTATCAGAAATAGCATATGGCATTTGTCCATTGAAGCTAGCCTATGTCTTGAAAGTTAATGGTTTCCAGTTGCATATATCTTGTTCCAAAGGTGTAGATTATTTTCTTGACTACATAGTATTCCACAGCAGATCCATACCACATTATCTTTACCCAGCCATCCACTGATAGACATCTGAGTTGATTTCTTATCTTGGGTGTAGGTAATAAAGACACAACAAGCCCAGATTCTTTCAGAGGCGAGTTCATCACTTCAAAACATGAGGAAAGCTTTCTCCCTCTTAAAAGTATCAGAAAAATCGACATATACATTTTAAAGGGTAAATTTAGTCTTAAAGGAAAACAATTTACAGAACTCTGAGAATATATATGTTACAAACAATGGGGGGCATTTCTTTTCCTCATTTGTCATAGACATATCCAAATTAGCATCTTAAAAGTGACTGTTTCAGATCACTTCAGTAGCTTCTCCTTTGGTCCTTCTCTTTGCTTCCTCAAAATCAGTGTTAAGTGTGGAACACACAGATGTTTAATGACTGTTCACTTTTCAACTAGGAAAGAGAGAGCTATCAGAAAACAAGATGTATCTTCATTGTATTTTTATAAATGAGGTGTAAAAAAACTATTTAGGCAACAAAATTGCAATAAAATATTTAGATTTTGAATGTGGAGAAAGTTACAATTTTAGCATTTATTTCTTTCAAACTGTATAGATTATCCAAAAGTATTTCATATTTATTTTAAAATAGAAAAGTGATCACAACTCTAATAGAGTAAGGTTACAAATTAACACAAGCAACAAAGTCAACCAGTAACAAAACACAAAATTATAGTTAAGCATAGCAATAAATTCTTAAAATTTTCCCTGTTATTTTCCTAGAACATTTCAAAGTTCTCCCAAGGTTAGAAGAGTGCTTTAGAAATTCTCCCCAGTTATTTTTAATAGAATCTTTCCCAAAACTGAGAAGCCTAAATTACTTAAATGGTGAATCATTCACACATGTCAGGATTCAGAAACAAGCCAGAAAAAATGTTGAGCATTACACATAATGCATAAATTACAATGAACTTTTTGCAAGAACCAGAAGATTTTTTGTGAAATGTATTTAGCTCTGTAAACAGAACTATCTTTTGAAGACAGAAAAAGAAAGAAAAAAAAAGAGAGAGAGAGAGACAGAGTGTATTTTAACACAAGTAGGATGTTACTGTAATTGATTTGATACATGCTTTGCCTATAAATAGGTAGCTAAGATACTTGCAAGTTTTTATCTTACTACACATACTACTCCTTTCAGTAGTATTTTATTATTACCACTAGGTGTAGACATTGCAAGTAGATGAGAAGTACCTTCTTATGGTCTGGCTACCTCTCATTTCATCAAGTATCCTGTTGATGAAGAAAATAGCAGCAAAAATAACCTGTATCTTATCTCTCCATTGATACAAACAACTCCATACCACAGATGTATTATGTATGATGTTTCCTTTCAGAATAGATGTTCAGATGCAGGTGGCAAATTAAAGATCTTTGTGTGTTTCACAATTCATTAAATTTCAAAATTTATATGTGTAATATTTTTACATGAGCACAAATTATCTAGCATATAAATATAAACAATGCATGACTGCTTATCTTAAGGAAATCGAAGTGTAACAGTAAGGAGAGCTCCTAAGATGCGATTGAAAAATAATAAGAAACAGAGAAAAAGAAAAAAAGAAAAATAATATGAAAGTGCTTAGATAGTACTAAGTCAAAATTAATCTGAATATAATTAATATAACAAGATCAACAAAATTTAGATAGGTCTATACTTCAGTTTGATACCTAAGATAGCAATGATTGGATAAGATGTAAGAATACATCAGTGGGAAAATACTTCAGTTTGTGAAAAATGAAACCTAAAGTAAGCTAATTATGATGCAAAAATTTGCAATGCATGCATCAATAAATATTTTAAAAGTTCATGTAGATGTTTGTTATAAGAAAGATATGGAGCATGGATATAGAAAAACCATAGTGCAGTAAGATGCTCCAGAGATCAATTCCTTGCAGAGGTGTCGATTTTTATAATAACTCACACCATACACAAACCATCTTTTCAAGGGCTAAGGAATCCAGGAGAAAAGGTGTAGTGTGTGACTTTAGTAGACTACAGGAAAATGCAGGGAGGAAATGTCTGTGTCATTCTCTCAGAATTTCGAAAATGTAGCTCTGTAATTGCCACGTAAAGAAGCAAGAGGGATTTAAACCTAAATTTTAGACTTGAAAAGCTGCTATTTTCATACAGTGCTCTCAGAAGATGCCTGTAGCCAATTCTTTCTGAAATATCAACTGCACATTTGGGAGACATACAGTATTTTTAATCTTTTATTTTTTATTATTTTTATTATCATTTTATGATACAGTTCCATAGGCTCCTGGCATTTCCTTTATCTCCTCCCCAATTTCCTCCCACCCCGAGTTCCCCTGTATCATTATTATAGTTCTTCATACACAGTCATATGTCCATCATTGCAGACATGGACAATGACAAGCAGTCCAGCATCCTATTCTCAAGATAGAGTGAACAGTTTCATTGTAAGTCCATCTTTGTCTGGAAGTAGAGAAGCATACTGCATTGCATCCTCACATCTGGAAATGTTTAATCTCCATTTCACAGTTATTGTACATTCCCTTAAACAAAAAGCCACAATATAAAATCAACAATAGGAGGAAAAATAGAAATTTACAATACCCTGAAGTTAAATAACGTGTTACTATATATGAGAGTGTCCATTACACAGCTACTGTACATCCCCTTAAATGAAAAGCCACAAAGCAAAATCAAAAACAGGAAGAGAAAAGAAATTAACACCATGAAGTTAAATAACATGCTACTGAATGACTAATATGTCACTGAAGAACTGCAGAAGAAAATCAAGAACCTGTGAGTTTAATTGGCATTCCTTTATATGTCAATTGATTTTTTTTTCACGTGCACATTTAAAGATCCTTTTCTTATGCTCGATTGAAGAGA